TCAATGACCCCTGATTCAGAACCTCCCCGCGCTTGTCCATCGGGGGCCGGCTTGCCTCCTAAACAGCCTAGGGAGTTTGATTGGTCGGAGAACTCACTTGCCCAAAGGGAAATAAGCAGGGGATCCTTCAAGGAACACAAGACCAACTGGAGAGAGCCAAATGCGTCAGATTTGCTGGAGGACCCGGCCAACTCGGCCGCCGTGGCAGAGCGCCGCCGTGACTTCTGCAGAATTGTCGCGACAAAGCGCGCGGGAGGCTGAGATGGTCGTGCCTCAACGGTGCCTTGCTATTTTGATGGGTCCCAAGTCGACTTGAGGGGTTCTCTAGCTTACTTTGGGGGGTGGTTTTCCTTCAAGTTTGAGGCCTTGGGCAGTATCGGGCCTCTGTGCCATCAAGATTTATCCCAAAAGTGAGAGTCTCAATTTGGCTGTCTGGGGCAAACCCTCAAAATGATTGGTGGACATAAATCCCCAATGTGTCTCAAAGGGTCCCCAATTCAAGTTACCCTTTTTCATCAGCCTGGTTGCAGATTCCCATGCCGAGGATGCCTGGATGTTCACCTCTGCCAGCCGGAAACCTGCGGTGGCTCTGCCGGTGGATCTTCCGGACGGTGGAGATGCCACCGTGGCTGAGAAGGCGATCCAGGGAAGGGCAGCAAGAGGTGAAACATGACCAGCAGCCTTGCACATGTGTCAAAAGTAGTGGGGCCTCAGATCTAGCGGTTGCCCTTTCAGGGTGACCAGAGTACCTTCCAAAACACACACACACAGACCTCATGAGCCAGAAGCACATTGTTCTTCAAGAGCTGTTGATGAGGGCAATCCAGCAGTCCTGGCCAAGTCACGATTGGTTTCAAGCACAGCTAACTTAGCATCAGCAGTAGCTTCAAGTGTGAATTTTCATGGGCAACGGAATCCTTAAAATCTGCAGCAGCCTCACTCGCCGTCTGTATGTAGTCCCATATATGAGACTTGCCTCTCGTCGTTTTCCCAATGTACTGTATCATGTGACATGTGATATTTGATAGTAGCAAGGCTGCCGTTATGTGGCATAACATTTGACATGCAAAGCTGAACAGGTGTGCTACAACAAGCTCAAATGGTCTGGGCCTGAGAAGCTGAAGACCAGTTGCAGCCTGTGCGCAATTGGAGTAGACACCAACTAAGGTGGCTGCAGCAAGAGTTAGGTCGGATTCCTGGGGCAATCGACCTGGGCATGACATCTCAGTGGACTGTTGTGGACCGGATCATGTATTTTGTCAGTGCCAGTCCTGGCTTTGACTTCATCATGCAGCACAAGGTTCTACCACGCATCCTCCAGCCCAAGTATGTGATCATGGTATCCAATGGCGGGCAAGTGCGTGTGGCATGGTTCGCCTTTGTCAGCAACAACCCAGACCCTGGCGCGACGGCGGGCCCTTTCGTGGTGAAGCTCGTGAGCGAAGACTTGCGGTCGGCCGATCGAGATTCCCGAACGTATTCCAAGTTCACTTACACCGCCAAACCTGCAGCCAGCGCAGATATGGAGAAAATCATCTCAGACATGGTCCCACACATCCTGAAAGGAGTCGACAAGGACAACTGGACGGCCTTCGAGCGAGCATAGGTGGAAAAAGGGCAGGATTAGAAGCGGCTTTTCTCATTTCCGGCGGGGACATTTTAGAGGTTGGGGAAGAAGAAACAAGAACGTGTGCAAGTCAGGAACCCTATTCTTGAAGTCATACAAAAGACAAGGACGGGTAAGGGCTGAAGCTGAGGCCACTTATTTTAGCAGTTTTGAAGTTGCAGTATTGATTCCGCTCTGTCCGCATGGAGCCTTTGCCAGGCGAGCCAGGCCAAAGTCTGCGCTGAGCTTGACTCGTGGAGCTTCACCAGATGGGGTTCTGGGCTCAGAAACATCACGATTTGACGACTTGGCTCTGAATTTTGGTGGGGAGTCCTTAAACATGGTGAACATAAATCCCGATGTCCACAGGGTTCCATTTCTGAATTCACACCCACTTGGAGTAGGGGGACTCACCCGACATCTCCTCAGGCTGCGATTGAGTCGCATGAGGTTCTGTCACAATTAGTCTACAGCCAATGTGGGAGGGAGATTGATGGACTGGGGGGACTCAATCAAAACTCGGGGACTTCCTGGATTTCCCATGTGCTCACGGGAACTGCTTTTTTCGCCTCAAGCACACATGGCAAAGAGTCAAGTCCTGCAAATGTCCGGCAGGCAACGCAGCGAGAATGATGGCGGCTTTCGTGTAGCACAAGAAATAGGGAATTCTTCAGGTGGCTTGGTGGGAACGCAGGCCCGGACTTGCATGGGGCGTCAAGCTGCGCCACACTTTCAGTAAAGATTTGCGCCTTTTGTTGCAGCCATTCCCCTGATCCCGTGGCACATTTGAAGCTTCGGCCTTGGTGAGGGGCCATGCAGGCCCCATGGCCGGAGCCGCCCCAGGCAGCGGCTGCCGTACTGCTTGTTCCTTGTGCTCTTGCACTCGAAAGAGCCCTCGGAACCAAGGCGACGCTGCGAAACGTTCCGCGAGCCGTTGTTTTCCGATCGCAGCGTTCCCGATGGGCACCCGCAGGAAGAACACGAGGACAATGGGTACGCCTTTGTGTCCATGACATGGCGTGGAAGCTGGCCTTGCAAGCACGCAGGCCACGCAGATTTGCTCTTGCTCTTTTGCTCCAGTAGTCATAGGCCATAGGTGTCCTCTTTTTTGGCGGCTTGGGATTAGATTGAATACCACAAGTTTCAGCCGGTGTCGATTGATTTGCCGTGCCAAAGGACTCCTGGGCCAGTTGTGCAAAGCACGATATTCTGATTGAAGGCTGCCAAGTTCCGGTGGCAGCCGGGACGGGTCTGGAAGCACCCCCCTTCGAGCCTTTTTGGCTTTGAAGGGAGCAACAGCTGTCGTGTGGCAGAAAAGGCTCAACGCTTGCTTGGGCCCGAATGTGGCTTGCCTGGACTCTTCGCCTTTGCAGTTTCTCAGCACCCTGTTGTTTCGTGCGACACGTTGCTCAGGCGATGCGGTCAGGTATTGTCCAGTCAACGCCCCAGCAGGCGGGGCACCCAAATCAGGACTCCACAGGTGCCAAACCTTTTGATGCATTTCCAGTGCGAACACAGCTCTTGTTTGACAAGTCTGTTGGCAACGCCTAGGTAGCTACAACTTGACTCGCTGGTTCGCTGGCCCCAGGGGCAAAGAGTCCCTTCGGCCATGCTTCACAGCTTTGCACGATGGCATGAAGTCATGCGAGATTCGGCGCTGAGCAACTCAGTGGCTTGTATCAATCCTGGCGCGATCGTTTGAGGACGTGAAGTCCGTTGTTAACTCTTATCGCTTAGCGTATGCGCTCCAGCGCGAAAAAAGAGAGCACTTGATAGATTGGACATGGCATTCACCTGTTTGTTCCATGGGTGGTGTGAAAGGGCCTCGGCCAGAACTGCGATAGATTCCCATCCCTTGCACTGCCTTGGCACTGGGATGGTTTTGTTCCGCTTGCATTGGCATGGCGGCCATTGGATCAGATCGAGCGTCAGCGTGACTTCAGTTTTGTACCTGTAGAAGATACGCTTCTCCCCAAGAGCAATCAGGAGACTCATTTGGAAGCCGGCAGTGAGGCAAAGGCAGCAAGTCCTGAAGTGGTGGAGCACTTTCCCTACTTTCCCGACCCAGCCACCCAGCCACCCAGCCACCCACCCAGCCACCCAGCCAGCCACCCAGCCAGCCACCGAGCCACCCACCCACTACCCACCTACCCACCAACCCACTCATCAGTGACACCAGTGCAAAGCAAGCACAGGTCATGGGGCCTGCTTTGTTGTCCTTGCCCATGATACTGGCCCGCGATGTTGGCTCTTCCAGCACCAGGCGATGCGGACAAGGAGAGACAGTCGTTTTCGTTTCTTTCCAGTAGGCAGCGGGCGTGGCGGGCCAGAGGTTTGTGTTTTTTCTCTTTTTGGGTCAGCTGAAACATCACATTTCTTGTAATGCGTGTATGTTATACTTTCTTTTGGTGGGGTCTGTGGGCTGAGTCGGCAGGACCCGGTGGTTCTCTGTGGCATCTGTCTGCGATCGTCACCCCACCACGCTTAGCAGTCTTGTTGCGTGCTTGCGGCGTTCTCAACACAGGCGAAGATTAGAACCAGCAGGGCGTGCCTTCCATGCAGAGCACGAGAAGCCGAAACTTGAGGTGCGGGTCTGCTTGCTCGGAACTGGATTCGCATATCGTTGCAAGGCAAAAGGACATCACTATAACTATGACTATAACTCGTGCTGAATCATTTTCTTGTTCCATGGCATCAACTGTGCGGTGCAGGGAAAACGGCGTCCTGCCCAAGCGCGCAAGGCTCACTGACTTTTGTGTGGATGGTCTTTTGCGTTTGTTGCCGTGCAGGAAGCTGATAGTGATGAGGAAGCCACACCTTCTGATTCCTGGAGGCAGACATGCCCTCAATATGCTTGCCAACACAGCGACAGCACATTCTGAGAAAGTACCTGCAACAGGCAAATCAACTTCACCAATCAGGGGTGTTTGTGCACGGATATGAACACCTTGAACCCTTGATCAAGTGCTTCTGTTGCTGGAAGCTGCCCTTGACACATTTGGTCAACTAGGAACCCATGTTTGGAGGTTTCAATGGGAAATACGTGCACACCCGCAATGCAAAGCAGTCCCTTATTTCAGGAAACACCCTTGAACACCCTTCAACACCCTTCTCTCCCGCCAATGCCAGGAAGAAGCAGAAAAAGGAGGGTACCGGAAGGAGTGCTCTGAAGCTGAGCGCACTGCTCACAGGCTCACAGGAATTCACGGGAGCGAGCGCATGGGATCCCTTCCAGGCGAAGATTTGTACAAGCTTCTGGAAGTCAGTGAGACCTCCTCCACAGAGGCACCTGCATCAAATGGGAGGTATGGCTATGGATTTTTCAAAGGGTGAACTACCCTCAATAAATGGGTGGGACAGGACATGCATCCTTATGTAAATGATGCCCACCAGAAGGTCCCAAATCGAAACTCCTATGCACAAGGACAAACAGTCAACCAGTCAGTGCATGCGGCCGTGCCTGCTCAGCAAATCAAGAAGCAGTATCGGAAGATGGCATTGCAACATCATCCCGACAAGCAAGGCCAGGCGAGCTGTGCGTTTGCCTTGCGCTGCTGAAGGATGAGTTGGAATGACTCCCGTGAACATTTTCTTTTCGGGGTCCTAGATTCTTTCCCAAGGTGATTGCTTACCAAACCAGCAAGTTGTCATGCACGAAGGGCACGTGCAGAGGCGCAGACACTGAAGAAAAGACTCCAGGTCTGAGCGAGAAGGACGAGCATGGACTGTTCCCCATTTTTGAGTTTCGGAGGTTTGAGAATCCAGTCAGGCATGGCCGAATCCCAGACAAGCTGCAAAGGACCAACACTTCATTAAGATTCAGGAGGCCTATGAGGCAATGGCTGGCCAGTCATTCAGATTCCTCAGACGCTCAGTGCATGCCAGATCCTCTCTGATCAAACCAAGCGCCGGCAGTGGGTTGCTGAGCTCTTGAAACATGTGGTTTCGTAAAGTTATTGGCTCCGGCTTCACTGCTGGCTCACAAAGGTATGACTCCACCCTTGATTTCGATGATGATATTCCAGATGAGGCCAGGTGATGGTGATGTGCGTGTTTCTCAAAGTAGGTGACTTCGAACAAAATGTTTCTTCCCTTCATAACAGGGGCACCGTCTTTTGAGAGACGTGAGGTCGACGAGCACCTGGGCTTCTACGAGACTTTCGGCCCGGTGTTCCGCCGGAACGCGAGATGGAGCACGAGGCATCAGCTTTCCTCGTCTTATGTACTGGGGATTCAGGAAATCAGGACTGGTCTCCCCGCAATTTGCTTTCTTTGGATTTGACACATCTTTTTGTTTTTGAAGGGAAGCCGAAGGGAAGCCACCCATTCAGGGGCTTCGCCCATTCAGAGACACCAGCTTGGCTGCAGACGGTCAGGTTTCCAGTGCCCGAAGTGGGCGATGATCAAACGGACATGTCCAAGGTGCACAAGGCCAGGAGCCTAGGAGATTCCATGCAGACTTGCCGTGCTGTCCCATATTTTCTGAGTTCTACAACTTCTGGCTGTCCTTCGATTCCTGGCGCGACTTTTCCATGCACGACGAGTGCCTCCTGGGCCTTGCCAGCTCGATGCCTCGCACTCGTGCGGAGGTACAACCTGGACGACGCCGAGTTTCGGGAGGCAGAGAGTGCAGCTCTGTGTGGCTGTGAATTCAGAGATTCAGACGGGCAACAGCCTCATAAACTGGTTGGTGGACAGAACGCCGCAGGAAAGTGCCGTTCCAATGAAACATCGAATCATACCCATTTGGAGGGCTGTCAAATTGGGGCGGCATAATTACTTGGCGCCCGCCTTCAAAGGGAGAGGACGGCATACCTCGGCTCCGTTGGTCCTGATTTCAACAGGAGCGTCGTTGGATGGAGAGGCAGAATCAGAAGGTTCGCAAGAAGTGCCCTATGCACCTGGTCGGGTTTCCTTTTGGTTTGAGTGGGTTGCGTGAGCGGAAGCCAGGTATGTGGAAGCTGAACGGAAGAGAATCATGCGACTGGCAGAGACTGTCCCATCCTTGATCACAGAAAGCGTTTTGTTCAGCAGTTTGCTGGCCAGATTCTCCAGAGCATATCTTCGGACCGCATATGAAGCGGTGAAGAACTTCTCAGGCAGAGAAATACGATCCCCGAATACGTGCGGAAAGGGAGGCAAGTCACTGACCAAAAACTGCACACGCATTTCGACAAGAGTTGGGGTGTCGAATCATTTGGCAGGAAAGAGAGAGAAAGAAGAGGGAGGAGAAGGAAAAACGAGCACGTGCCAAACAGGAGGAGGCAGAGGCAAAGCAGAGGCAGGAAGAGGACTGCTCTGCCAGTATATGCGCTGTAACTGATCCACCATCGACATCTTGGCAATGCAGCAGGGGTAATTTGGCTACATCACCTTGAATGCTTTGATGCTATGGCCATGCGGAGGAGAAGCGGAAGAAGGCGGAGCAAGAAGCAGCTGAACAAGCTGAGAAGGTGCCTGCAATCCTCTTTATCCATGAGGAAATGAAGCCCGAGCCAGGAGCGACTACAGCGTGAGCAGCGCAAGCAAGACAAACAGGCAAAGGAAGATTCAGAAGGGCAATGGACAGCTGAACTTGCGACTGCGAATTAGCTCTGCGAGGTTGCTAAAACTCTTCGCCAGCGCTTCAAGAGAAGCGTGCAGGAGAAGTGCAACCTGGAGCCGCTGGAGCTGGAGGACGGCATGCGTTGCAATGTCCGGGGTTCAGCATCACCTCCCCAGAAACTGTCTCCGCCCAGAAGCTTTCCAAGAATCCCTTCTCAGAAGATTGACCGAATCTTTCCTGCGGGATGCAGGGGCCTTCGGTTTCTCCTACATCACGGGAGGACCTGCAAGAATTTTGTCTTGCACTTGAAGCAGAGAGGCTGCAGGAGCTCTGCGAAAGTCTTGAGGCGAGCTGCGCAGGTTTGCTTTTATTTGGAACAATTTTGCTTTGTGCCCCTGGGCCTGGTGGACCGTGCGAGGGCAAGCCGGCTGGCAAGCAGTCCGACGCTTTTGTTCGGGAAGAGCTCGCTGAGGCTTGCGGGCTCTGCTCAGTGCTGGCTGATTGCCTTTGCTTCAGAAACAGTGTGAAAAGGGCAGGCCCTGCAACAAGCTGCAAACTCCCAAGAGTTGGACAGGAACAAACACTCTTGTTGCAATTGCAGGCTTTATGCAGCAGACTTGTTTGCTGCAGTGCACAGCTCAAGCGAGGTTTGGCCTCACGTGCCTTGGGGGATAATTTTGTTTCTTGCGTCAGCAATCTGCAATGCTGTTCGAACCTTCCAAGTCCGCAGGCCCAATTCTGGACTGTGGGGTGCTCCTATTTGCAACTGTTTGCTTGCTCGGCTTTTTGAGCTTTCTTTGTTTTCTGCATTCTCGAAGGCTTTTCACGGAGGAGCTAGTCCTCCTCTCGAAGGTGCTGAACACAAAGACGCGACGAAGACCGAAATCGCATTTGAAGCGCAGGCGCGGCAATAGTGTGGCTTCCACCTCGAGTCCGGATGAGTTGGCCTGGACGAAGGTCTGCACAGAAGGCTTGAAGCGGTTTTTGAATGATCAGCTACGACTCTCGCACCATACAAGAAAGTGGTTCGTGGTGAATGCTGCTCAGCAAACGATTCACGCGAGCGATCCCTCCCTGCCAATTCCAAGCAATTCTCTCGAGCGGGAGCAGCTTGCTATGCGCTTGGAGGACGCAGCAGTTCGGGCCACACTGCGCGCAGAAGCGACTGGCCGTGTTCGTGCCGAGCTGGCACATGCCCACAGGTGTCTTGATGCTGTGCAGAGCATGGAGAGGAGCACCCGCTGCGAGAATCAAGCTCTAAAAGGAGAGCTCCAAGCCGTGAAAGGAGAGCTTCAAGGATTGAAAGGAGAGATGCAGGCTCTGAAAGGTGAGAATCAGGCTTTGAGAGGCGAAAACCAAGCTCTGAAAGCGGAGCTGACTGTAACACACGCGGATTTGCTTACAATTCGTGAAGTATTCCGAGATTTGCGACACGACTGCCTTTGTCCGATACGCCACACTCCTATGCGCTGTCCAGTAGTTGCAGCAGATGGCCACTCGTATGAGCGAAGGGCAATCGAGAGATGGGTGTGGAAGCATGGCACATCGCCAATGACAAACATGGCGCTGCCCAACAGTGTGTTTGTCCCTAACTTTCTGGCCCAAAAGGTTGTGGAGTGTTTGGGAAAAGCTGAGCCTTCTTGGATCAACATTGCTCCTGATGAAAGCGAGAGTGATGAAAGCTCTGACAACACGCCACATGCGTGGAGTTCAGATCATTCCTCCGACCGAGAGAGCACCCAGCGGACTCAGCAGACTCAGCAGACTCCGCAGACTCAGGCCTCGGCGGCATCCTCTCACTTTTCAGTCGATGTGTACAACGGACAAGCCGCAGAGGTTTTACGAGCATTGCTGACCAATGGAAGCGCACCAGTGGAGGCGCTATGGAGCGTCAGAAGTGAGGTGACAGACCACATCAATGACATCGATTAGCAGAACAGCTGCTGAGAACCCAGCGGATTTTCGGGCTGTACCCACATGCGAGTTCAGTCTGCCTTGAAAGAGTCACTTCATGGACAGCATGAAACGGATGGGCTGGTGAACGAAGAGCCGCAGGCCAATTCGAGGTGCATGGGTTTCACTGAATCTCAGAACAAATGAAGGATGAAGAAGACCCACCTCAAAACGCTTGCAAGCTGACAGCAAATCTTTAAAATTCGAGCGCATCAGTGGGACAGATCAATAACAGCTGCCTCTAGATTTGTTCAATTCAGTATTTGGAGGTTGAATTGAAACGCTTAATGAAGGATTCCTTACGTCTTCTTCAAGCCAATTGATGGAAATTGGCCAGTAGCACCAACAGGTGCCGGGATCTGCGCTCTGAATTTGCAGCTTGTGGTCTGCTGCTTGTTTAGACTGGCTGCGCCTCGCACCGGGGAAGGCCAAAAAATGTCTCCTTTTTGCCGCCTCTTGGTGAGCGGGTTCGCGGGATATGGGCGTATTCTTTTTCGAGGATATCCTTTTTTGGGTTGAGGGAAACCCATGCCCGTTTCGGAGCCCGTTTCGAGAGATTCCATATTTCACACTCCTTTCCGGTCTTGCGGAGCTGTTGGAAAGGCCAAGCGCCGACGAGCGGAGGAACAAGCGAGAGAGGAAAGGCAGGCGCTTGCCTCTTCGTGACTGCAGCAATTGGGAATTTGTTGAAGCTGTGGAAGCTCAGATAGTTGCTTTCAGCCGTTCATCCCTCTTGAAACAATCCCCTACACGAGGTTTGATTCGGGTTTGAGACATCCGGGCAGGCAAAGACAGGAAGCCAGGAAGCGTGAACAGAAAGTTGCAGATGTCAAGGACGGACAATTTCTGATCATTGCAGCGTTGCTTCAGTGCTTTTTCGCCAATTGTTTCTGGACTATGGCCCATCTGCGACTTGGCAGAATGCGCGGGTTTTAGCTGCTTTCAGCAGCCTTTGCAGCTGCAAAGCGGCTTTTGGATTGTTTGAAAGCAAAGAACATGTAACCCCACTAGGGGTGGGGTTCCGCACAGATTTCCGAGCCATATTTTTGTTAGCCTCCGGGTGTTCCTTCGGGTTCACGGTTGTGGAAAGTTGCGTTAAGGCAAAATTCCTATGATACGGGAATCTGCAGAATCCCCTAAGTGGCAAAGCAGTTCTGGGACCCTTTTTGTCGTCCAGGAGTCTGTGCCTTGGAGCACTGAAGAGCTGGGTTTGCTGGCTAAGGGTCTTCAGAAGTCCGCGCCTTATGTGGAGCTCAGCCAAGTTTCCAAAATGATCCATCGAGAGAATGCAGATTTTAGGGGGTTGCCAAGAACACTTTTGGAGTGGATTCGCCTTTTGAGAGTGGCAATTGAAAGAACAGTTTGTGGAGCCACAGACAAAAAGAGACGCAAAGGCAACTAAAGAAATGGAGGGATTGGATTGCCTCCATAAATTTCCGTTCGGGGAATAGTTGGCTGCTCTTACTGTTGCATAGAGTCTGCCGGTACGTGGATCGTTACAGCTGTGTACGCCAGCAGCCGCGCTGTGCATATTTGAACACAACTCCTGGGGGCATTGAAAAAAGCTGGTTTTCTGCAACCTTGGTAGAATTTGACACCCCCAGAGGGATGCATGCAGAAGCCCAAGACCAAAAGCATTGGGTTTTGCACTTTTCTCAAAGACGTTCACCCGCACACACACACACACAGACAATGGGCTCCGGTTTAAATGACACAGTTTGGGGCGTGGCAATGTGGGAGATGTTTTGAGCAATCGTCCGTCTAGCTATGGGGAATCGCAGACGATTGAGAGTCAGATTCAGGTACTGGTACCACACACCAGCCTAAATTTCAAGACAAGAGCAAAAATCAATGTCTCGGGTTTAAAAGAAAGACCGCATTCAAGATGCAAGATAGCTCCCACCATCTACACGCTCGACTGGTGCCAGCGGTTGGAGGCCAAATTTAAGGTGAGCTCAATCGCACATCCGAACAAATGCCTCCACAGCAACCGTGGGCAACCATGCTTCTCGCTGCTTCACTTGTTTTTTTTCTTTCTTTCTTTTTTTTCTTTTTTTTCTTTTTTTCGATGGCAGCGGGGAAAGCAAAGGCGTTTGGTAAAACCAAAGCTCATGTGCTGCGGATCCCAGCCTGCGTTATGTATGTCATCGATATTTATTCAATAGCCCTAGCCGCATGAGGTTTCCTGGTGGAATGGGTGGCCGTTGGAGCCTGATTACGATGCTTGGCTGCAAATTCAGGTGCTCGTGACCAGATGCAAGCTGGGCACTTCAAGCACCAATTCAAAGGAAATTCCTCACCGACAACGGGCACGAAAGGACGGAGAAGGAAGTGGTTGACAAAACCAAGGACCGAGTGTTGTCATGGCGGCGACATTTCCTATTCACCAACCAGTCCATAGAAAGCGCAGCTTTTTGTTTGTGAGTCTAGCAGAATTGAGTGCTCATGTGCGAAAGGAGCTCTCGGAGGGTCAGTCTCTTCGATCCATGGGCTCCAAGATGGCGCAAGAGAATACTTTTCAGGCCTGGAGCTGTTGCTGTTGGTTTGTCTCAACCAGAATCCTTTTTCGATTGGCCTGCTTTTTGCTTTTGACACAGGTTTGTATGTAGCAATCGACAAAGCCCGACCAAACTTGAACAGACTCTCTTTACATCGCTTTCCTGCCTTTGATGCGATTTATGGCGACTGGCAAGGCACCAAAAGCCAAAGCAAAAGCGAAGGTGCCTTTGACAATGACAAGCAGACCATGTGTAAAGGGTCCCACTGCAGAGATTGGCTGGCCTGCTTTGCAGGTCCAGCAGCAAGAGGCAGATGGCAAATGGGAGCGCCCTATGACAGAGTTATGGCATGTATTTTGCCAGGTGGCGCAACCTGAGGCCGTGCATGCCTTGGTTCTTTTCGACGCAGTGTTGGAGTTGTCATGTGAAATCTTTCTGTACAGCCTGCTGGTGAGAAAGTGATATGTCACTCGTGGCCGTTTGGCTTCGCCAGCCTTGGTGCCGTGCTTGTTCTATACTTCTTTGACTGAGGCCAAGAGTGCGGTCAATGGCACCTCAGACAAGGCTGAGGGTAAGGACAGATGTCGAGGCATCAGTGGATGGATGAGACAATCATTTGCATGGAAGGATGATTCCTCTGAGTGGACACCTGATCAACAGCAAGCCCTGGAGAAAGCCTTGCAGAGGCAGTCGGGGGCAAGGGCCTTTACTCCTTTTGGTCGTAGCTCGGGCGTCGGAGGCACCCGGCCAGTCTCGACAAGAACGAAAGATGGAAGCTCATAGCTGCAGATGCCTACGACTTAGAAGGCTTTGACTAAAGCATGGTAGAACGAACAGTGTTTGTGTTTGAGTTGCATTGGAACAAGGTCGCTGGCAAGACTAAGAGCCAGTGTGTCGAGCGCTTCAAGTTCCTGCGAGAGCAGTTGAGCAAGGCCGGCTGCCTGCCTGTCCGCTGATGCTGTTCCTATTTGCCGGTGTGCTCTTGGGTTCTATTGGACACCAGGCCAAATTGGTGGTTCTTAGTTGCGAATGTGGGCATGTAGCACAGAATCCCAATGGTGGCTGGTAAAGGGTGAAAAACTCCCATTCCCAAGAAGAAGCCAGCGATTCTGAGAGACGGCCAGAATTGCCATTCCCGTGTTTGATCTGGCTGTCCATGTCCAGGCCAAGGGCTGAAGGTTGTGCTGAGTCGCCGACAGGGAAAAAGCACGCGTGCTGTGGTTGAACTGCACATATTGCCTTGGTCAACAGGGATGGTCATTACCACTTTTGAGAAGGTGTTCGAACAACTACCAGAGCAACGAGGGAGAGAGAGAGAGAGAAAAACAACAACAATACTTTTTCAGATATCAGAACCTTCCTGATACATCGAGTTTTGATATTTTTTGAGCATCGCCCCGTGAGCTGCACAACCGATACCCGCATGCGGAAGCAATTCATGTCTGCAACCAATTGATTTGGGTTGACTGCGCTTTTGACTCTCAGAGGTGTCTAACTGACTTTAAGCAGACGATTCCTGTGTGCATTGTCAAATATAGTTTCTCTAACCTACCTTCGACTCACTCCGCTCCACAGAAATCACTGCTAACTGGATTTGTGTTGCTTCTTTAGAAACAAACGTGGCTGAGGTCGGCGACAGAGTTGCTTTGCTTACTCCAGTCCGCTTGAAAACTGCGATAAAAAAAGCACAAGTGGTGCAAAGCAACCACTGTCCAAGTCAGCCATGTCTCGGCCCCTGGACATGAACAAGACACCTTGGAACTTCATGAAGCAGTTTCAGGAGGCCCGGATGCAGTCCTGCCTTTAGGTTTCCCTTTTCCATGGGGGTGTTTGAACCAAATTTCACCAGCCTGGGACAGAGGCAGGCGGAATTGTTTACACAGGCATGTACCGCTTGAAAGGACTTCAAGGCAATCAAATGCAATGATGACCATCCCCCGCAGCTAGTACCCATGCCACATGGAGCTGCTTCGATGCTGTGAGGCTACCAAGAAGCAAGAGCATGCCCGGCGCCCCAGCTGATATCCACGTCAGTAAGTGAGAGCAGTAAGGCTCGTGAGTTGTTCGAGATGAAGCAAGGCGGTCCTCGCAGATACAGGCCTGATCACACTCTTTGTCTTTTTTGTTTGTTTTCCATGCGCTTTGCAGCCATTAGCAGCCTCTTGCCTGGTGCAGCGCTACACGGCTGCTGCGACTCCCTGTAGCATGTAGCGCAACACCATGCAAAGAGTCGTAGTAGATGTAAAGAGAGCAGGACGTTGCCGTTGCGTTGTATGTGCGATTTTCGTTTTGATCTGCGGATCCGCAGGTTCCAGGCGCCTGGGGAGAGGGTCGAGCTGGTGAAGTCGCGGAGCCAGCCTCACCTGAACGGCTTGAGCGGCTTTGTGGACTTCAGCGGCGCACTTGGGATGAACCTGTGGGACGAAGGTGTGTCTGTTCAGCATCTCGTTCTCAGGCAATGCCGATGAACTGGGCTTCCTGAAGGCCCAGTCTCCGGCCGCGTGAGAGGGAGGGCGAGGACAGCCCAGCGTGGCAGTCTTGCCAGGTGCGTATGCCCAAATGGGCGCGCACCACGCGGGCCGGGCAGCGGGCAACCCTAGCCCTGGAAAGTTCAGGAAAGGAAGGATACAGGCCCCAGCCTTACGCCAGAGCCCTCCAGGGTGTGCACCCTCAACCCTTTGCCGGGCACCCAGCTTCGAGGTACCTCAAAGTGCGGCCCCAGAATCTGCGGCCACTGCGGCACCCCTCAGATGAGCGGCCGCGGGGAGGGACCCTCCAGGAGTTCTTCCAGGTGGAGGACGATCTTGTGCCTTGGCAATTCTGCCGAAGGCGGTATGCACGGGAAGTTAAAGTCTCAAACAAGCAAGCAAGCGAGAGAGCGAGCGAGCGAGCAGGCAGGCAACCTAGCTAGCTGGCGAGCCACGAAGCACGTGTTTTCCATCTCGCACATGTCATGGGCGGCTTTGGGGAATCGAAGCATTCGGCCACAGCGGAGACAATCCAAATCGAAACCTGGGAAGTTGAAAGTGTAGGGTCGCCCCAGGCGTCCATCAAATCCTGCACCGACACGGTTGCTTCGTGCTCGGAGCGCCTGAGCACGGCGAGATCTTTGCCACAGCTGCGCAGGCGCCCTGCCATCACTCGCTCACTTGCTTGCATGACACAGGAACTTGCTTGCTTCACCATCAGCTTGGGGGCAGCGAGCTGGACGAAGGATCTTGGAGGGTCCAGCATTCCCTTTTGCAGTGCCGCAGGCGTCGCGATAAAACGCTGGAGCTACTGATATCGTCCAGGGAAGTCAACAGTCTTGTTGACCTCACAAATGTAGTAGATGAATAGGGTGTGTGTGTGTGTGTGTGTTGGTCCCCAAAGTGAAAGAGGCCCTCTTGACCGGCACGCCCCCCATTAACTGGTTCCCACCATTCCGGCTATTCTATTGCCAGGCGCTCGGGTACTCTGCCCTCGATGCCGGAATGAAGTGGCCAGCTCCAGAGTGACCGCTCGGCCGTGCTAACGACTGCCATGCGCCTTTCATCGCAGCCTCGACGCCTCGGTGCTGGTGGATTGCGGGCAGGGCTGACCCCTCACCGCTCCAGTTCCCCAAGGGATCATTGGAGGCGAGAGAGACAAAGGAAGGGCTTCGCACAAGCTGGACGGCAGCCGCTGTGGTGTGCAAAACGCGGCAACCAACATGGCGAATTGCCGGATTCTTGTTGTGTATATCGGCTCGAGGAAGTTGCTGTACACCTTGTCATGAAGGCATTTGCAGCAAAATTGCTAACATGGGCTGGACGTGCCACAAACCGAATGCAGACAATGCAGTTGCAGTCAGACACCCAGCCAATTTCTGAGCCCGGCCAATAGTGAAGCAGTCGGCACGTTGGCGCAATGCTCAAAAATTGGGCAGTTCGGCAGCTGGCTTCAGCACTGTGCGCACCTTGGTGTGCTGCAGGGAACTTTCCGATGGAGCATGGCTTGTCGTTCTGTTTGCAACGCAGGTCTGACTATGTGGAAGGCATATCCACGGAGACGGTGCAAGCAAGCCTCGGCCGGGACATTGGCCGCCTGAACCTGACGGGGGCCAGAGTGAATCCGCAGGCCAGCGTCTTGGGAGCTGAGCCTATACTTCGCCAGTTGCCTTGCGGAGGTTGTTTGGGCTTGTCTGAAAGGGAAACCAAGGGGACACCGGCCCCCTGTTCAGGGATTCGCACACCGCTACACCTGAAAGCCTTATCTCGAGGTATGTTGGAACGCCAAATCTAGTACGGGCTTATTCGGGCCCCAAGCCACACCATGCCCATGCGGCCAATAAGCATCTTCAATACCCAGGGGGTTGAACCACAAATGATTGGACAGACCTTAGCCGCGAGTGAGGCAACCTCCGGCAGTTCACATGGTTCACCCATGACGAACCCATTGACCCACTCACCGGACAAAGGCAGTCGAGCAGTACGGCCTGGAAGTGTTGCGCAGCGAGCTGAGCATTGATGTGCGCACCTCAGAGTCTCGCGGAGGTTGTGCCATGTTTTTGGGTACCCAGGGGTGTTAAGGGGAACCTCTCAGAACATCTCCAGAACTACTGATTCTTAGAGCATCTTCGAGTCCAGAATCTCAGGCGCGACCTTTGCTAGTTTCTTGGACTCTGTTTTTTAGGGGCCATGGTGGTGTTGATCCCTAGGGCTTGGGCAGGATGCGATACACTATTTTTTGGGACATGGTTGATTCTCTAAACGCTGCAAAGTGCTGCAGAAGGGGAAATTGGGTGCTTCTCCCTGCTTGCTTTCTTCATGGTGGATCCGTTGTACATGCGTCGCCCCAAAAGGGGCTCCCTTTCGTTTTGACACACAGCCGGCCAGCCATCAGCTCACCCCTCATTGGTGGCTTGGGTTGGTCGAGGTAAAGGGTATCTTCACATTTGGTCTGAAGAGGAGTTGGGGTTCAACTCACCTCGTTGCTACGAATCCACCAATTTCAAAGAACCCAAGTTGATAGCCCTGAAGTCCAGCTTGAGAGGAACGCCCGTCATATGTGTCCTTCCAGGTCGGCTTGGTTGGACATAGACGGCGCTGACTTTCATTCATTTCCCAGTGTCGTGTTTTCCAAAAGGACACCAAAAGGTACCTCTTTCCATTTTGGAGCTTGGTATGAATTTCAGGGGATGTTTGGGACATGGGGATTTATGCCAGGCGGAGGTGCCCTGGCGGCACCTCAGCTCTCAGCCCACCACGCTCACGGTGTGCTCCCTCCGCCTGGAGCTGCGACTCTCGCGGAGGCGCGGCACTTGGGAAGTTGATGCGATCGCGTTCCTGGAGAATGGCCCAAAAGACCTGGCATTTGTCCCGTGAGGCACAGAATTGGAATCTTTGTTGAGGCAACAGAAGGGCAACTGGAAAAGCGCCATCGCCGCTGAAACCGTAAATAAGGCCCTGTTCAAGGCTTATCCTTAGCTTATTTCAGAGATTTGTTGGGCACCTATTGGGACGCGGAGCTTGCTTAAGGGCATTGAATTTGGGCGTTGCCGAAAGACTGGCTCAAGCAGGAACGTCTTGCATGAATGGCGAACAGCACTCGTAGCCTGTACCAACATCTGATTTGAGTTTCGCTCTCCGTGTTTGCCTTGCATGTGCGACCCATTGGATTTGCCCAAAGGCCTTGCAGACTCGGGTTCGGGTCTGCAATTTGGTTTCGCGCAGGAAGGATGCAACGCAGAACTCCAGCGAGGCCAAAGAAGAGCAGGCTGCTCTGCTTCTGTTTTTGGTGCGCTTCTGGCAAAATCCGAGGAGGTCCTGAGGGATTGAAGTAAACCCAAACATGAACACACTGGGGCTTTGCCCAACAATGTGGGCCTGCTGGGGACCTTGCTGCGATTTTGTGCTGCTTGGAGGGTCAATAAAACGGCCTGTAGCTTTTGAACACCTGCCCCAAGGGTTTTCAGGCACTTCTCTAAATAGCAGCTTCTCTTGAAAACACCTTCCGAAAGTCAGCCGCAAATGACATGGAGAGTCAGAATTTGTTTGAATGCTGAGTGCCCCTTAGGTGAAGAAGCTGGAAGACGAGCTGATGGCTAGTGCCGAGGAGGAGCGGAGCACAAGCCAAAGAGCGCCCCATGAATTTCGGGGCTTTTAGAGTTGCAGTGGCGGTTCCCCTCCGGTTTTCACACACAACGTGTGGGATGTATGTCCATTTGAAAGGGACTCCTGCCTCTCCGCCGAGCTTTCATCTTTCTTAAAGGAAAGTAGTGTTCCGAAGAGGGCCTGGGCACTTCCATGCTGGAGGGGCCGGGTGTGTCGCACGCAGGCCCAGGAGGGCGGGGGCTTCGTCTTCGGCCGCGTGGCCCGTTTGTCCCACGCCATCCTGCGCCAGCTGCGCGTGAGCATCGGCCGTTTGGAGGCCATCGGTCGGTCACCGGGCGGTTGGGCAGAGAGCACTCAAAACCCAATCAAGACAAGCAAATGAAGGCTGCTCACAAGCTGCCCTTTTGATTCATGACAGGTCAGAGCACCACAGCAAGGATCTCTGTAATCAAGCCGTGACATGATGTGCCTGGCATGGTACCAAGAATCCTGCTACGACCATCCTTCACAGGAGGTTTGAGGGTGGCGCATGTGAAGTCTGTTCTGTGCAGGCGGTGGTGCACCATCAGCAACCTGGCAAGGCAGGGTTGCAGGGAGGGTTGCGCAGGCTCATGGCTACCAAGAGGAGAATGGCAATTTGTGAGGTCCCTTTCCTTCTGTGGTTCTCTTTGGTGACCCTCCTCCATGGTTTATCAATCTGTCTCAAGATGGGGAATCCCTCCTAAAGGATGGTTGGCGCTTATGTTTCCCTGAACCACAACCCCAACAGGACACTCTCCAAAGCAAGCAAGCAAGCAAGCAGGCAGGCAGGCAGGCAGGCAGACAAACAAATGAGTGAACAAATTACACCTGCAAAAGACCCAAAGAGTGTTGGGGAAGGCTAAACAAATAGAAAAGTGAATGATATCTTAAGCATACAACAGGTGATGCCTCCACAAGACCTCTTGGGAGGACCCCTAGAAAAAAGCGCAAGGCATCTTTGGCTTTTCGCAGGATCTCTGCACAAGATCTCTCGCAGGATCTCATGGCAAGATCTGCGTGCACGGTCTCTGGACAGGATCCCTTGGTAGGATCTTTTGGCAAGATTGCACAGAATCCTTGAGAGGTGGTGCGCGAGACCTCTTGAGAGGATCTTCCCAAAGGGCCCTATCTCTGTGCAAGATGTCTGGGTAGGGTCTCTTGGCAAGACTTGTGTACAGGATCCATGAGAGGATCAAGTGTATACAACTTCTGCGTTCAAGATCTGTGGGGAGCATCCTCCACAAGATCACTTGGAGGGACATCTTTCCAGGTCTTGTTCAAAAGCTCTTCAAAGGATCCCCGGACTTTCGGTGGCTCGCATCTCTCCTGCTGTGGTGCGGCGCAAATTGCAATCATCGAAGCACAGGACCTACAAACGTACTCTTGCAGAGGTCTTCTACATCCTGACAGAGAATTTGCCAAGGCCCCGAGATCCTGCTCACAGATCTTGTCAAGAGATCTTTCGCAGAGATCTCGTGAAGCCCACCAAAAGATATCTCGCGCTGGCCTTTCATACACTTTCAATCTTCGCGCCACCCCAGCGAGAGCGACCCGCCCGAAGTCCACAGAGGGTTAACTTGCGAAGCCCAAACCCCGCACCGTGCTGCAGCGAGAGCGGCCCGAAGTCCGCAGAGGGTTCACTTTCGATGCTCAACGTTCGCACCGTGCCACAGCGAGAGCGATCCGACCCATCCAACGTGCTCAGAGGGTTCACTTTCGATGTCAAAAGTTCGCACCGCACCACAGCGAGAGCCCCGACCCGCCTGGTTTCGATGCTGAAAAACGCGATTCGACCCACCCAAAGTGACGGTTGGCCGATCAGCCGTGAGGAACTCGCGCGGCGCCACCGCGAGAGCGCGCCCTCGAAAGACACCAAGCCCAGCCCGCCGCATTGCGTGAGCCTGTGCAGGCGACGTGCGCGTGAGCACCTCACAAGGGAATTTTGGCGCGAGCCTGCGCAGCCGAAAAGCGAGGGCCAGATCTTGCTCACCCACTTTGTGCCAGCCTGCAAAGTCACGACTGTACGCTCCGGCCCAGGGAGACCTAAAGGAACAACTTGCAATCACAGGGCCCCCTACCTTTGAAATCGCCTGTGGTTCTTTCAGCCATCAATGTAGTCATCACATGTTTTCCATAGTCGTTGTTTTTCACCGGCATATCAGGATTTGTTTTTGGTTGTCTTTTGGCGCTCTTGGCTGGCAGGCGCCTGTGACCATCGCGCTGGGGGAGTCCGGCCTTGAGAGCGTCGGGCCCGACTGGCAAAGCCTGCCCACGGACGAGACTGACCTCAGAAAGGTGGAGAGTTGGGAAAGAGGGGTGGAAAGGAGAGGCACGTATGCCTGGTGGAGCAAAAGGGGTAAAAAAGAAGAAGGCGAAGAAGAAGAAGGCACCACCAACAAGACAAGCTACATTCGACCACTGTACGGGCCAGGTCTTGCGCCTCAGCGGCTTCGAAGCCAAGTTGGGGGGCCGCGACCTGCGGCTCTTTGGGCCGCTGGCGGTGCAAGCGCGGCTGTTGCACTCGCCGGAGCAAGCATTGGTCAAGCTCTGGCTGGAGCTACCGCAGGAGGGGTTTCGACCTGGAGCCTCCAAACCTGGTGGCTTCCGTTTGAACTAAGAATTGAAACCGTGTGCCCCAAACTGACCTCCCAGTTTTGCATGGTGTTGGAGGGGATGGCGCCAAAGAAGGACGAGTCCAACATGCAGAAACCTTGTGTTTACAGGAAAACCATATCCAATATCCGAACTGAAGCCAACAATTCGCAGGGCCCTGTATTTTGAGGAACACTAAGTTTGTTGCCTCGCACAGACTGTGGATGAGTCCATCACATGCTTCGCCCAGTAGTCATTTCCAAATTTCAGCTATTCCCTGGAACAAGAGGATCCGATTTCACGTTGGGCTGAGCTTGCCTTCCAAAGGCGTGCAAAAGTGGCACGTGATTCGACAACTTGGGTCTTGGCCCACCAACCGCTTCTTTTGGCGGCACCTGCTTACTGCCTGTTGGTGCAAATCGCAGTTGCAGGCAGTCCTAAACTTCCACAGCTGGAGGGGCTTTGCACGTGCGCACACACACACAGCCAAAGCAGCAGCATCCACACGTCATGCCGAAAAGCTTCGTTTGCACCGGTGTCTTTGAGGAGGCAGACACGGCCTTTCAGATCAGCCCGGAGGCACTGCAAGAGCTCCGGAGCTGGTTTGACTGGGTGGTGGCTGAGTTCTTGCAGGACAGCGGCCAGGGCCGGGAGTTGTCGGAGGCGGCGGGCCTGAGATACGCCGCGGTGTACGGCAGCAAGCTGAAGGGCGAGCCCTTCGACGAGGAGCTGCTGGCCAAACTGGAGGCCACCGCCAGCGTGAAGTGGCTGGCCCAGTGGCGGTGCCAGAGTCGCCTTGAAGGCGGGGAAGCCGAAGCGGCCGCAGATGGCCATGGCCCAGAGCGGGTGGAGTCCCAGTGGCGGTCGTGGCTGCACTGGGCAAAAGGCGACACAGAGACGAAGGAGACGAAGGAGACGAAGGAGACGAAGGAGACGAAGGAGACGAAGGAGACGAAGGAGACGAAGGAGATGAAGACGAAGGACCAAATCCCGCCAAAAGAAGCGTGGCCTGAGGACTCGGACTTGCACTTCTCAGCGGCTCTGCTGGATGAAGTAGTGACGGAGGAGTTGCCGGAGCTCTCCACGCCCACGAGGTTTGAAGTTGACATGTTGATCTCGCAGTACACCGCTCTCTGCGCTGCGTCAGGCCGGGCGGTTTGGGCCAAAGAGTGTGTCCCCAATGGAGATTCGGCGATTCGGCCAAATCGCGGAGTCACTTTTTGTTTTTGTATTGCGGCGGGGCAACCTTTTTGTTTTTTTAATCTTGACAATGGCTCGTTTCTTCAAAACAACCCTATCCCCCAAAAGTGACGCACCATGTAGAGAACCAACCACCCATTTGGGTCCCCTCGTTTCCATGTATTTTTGGAGGGTACCGTTTTCACCTTGGAAAGGGATGCCGAAGGTTAAACTGCCAATTTTTGACACAAGCACACGCACACACGCCCATCTAGAGATGTTTCCCAGGTGGCTTGTTGAAGGCTTCGGTGGGGGGCGCTGCCTTCTCCCTGGACGTGGCCACTGCGTCCGGCTCCGAGTCCGCCCGGAAGCTGTGCCTTACGGTGACTCGGATGCTCACAGACAGGGTGCTTTTTACAACCATGGCCGTAATTCCAGCGGTGACTCAACCCACGAATTTTCTTCCAGAGAAGCACCAAAACGCAGAATCAACCGGTAGATGGACAGCAAGTTTTCCCCACCCCAAACACGTATTCTGGTTCCTATGTTTAGAGTTGTTCGACTGGCAGGCTTTCGGGGACGAGCGAATCAGCAGGAAAGCATGATCACGTCGCCACAAACCAACGGGCACATAAGCAAACAAACGGGTGTGTGATTTTGGAATTGGTACGTTTTGGTATTGTTTCAAGGGGAAGCCACAGATAGTCTGTTTTTCCATTATTTTTTTGGGGGGGTCCCCGGATTTATCCTTTCGGGTTTTTGTGGGATTTGTAACACTAAGCAGTACCCTTCCGATTATCGCAAAGAGTTTTTTTCCTTCTTCAAGGTGTGCTTCCCCCGCTGGCCAGGGAAGGGAGCGCTGTTTGCTTGACCAAGGTGAGGTCTGTTAGCGAAAAGACATCCCGGGCAAGGTAAAGACCGCTTTTCCGGATTAGGACCGTCACGCCTTGGGTTTGTTTCAGTGCCAGATTGTGATCCTAACTCTTTTGGGGCGTTTTGCAATTAGACCTATTGTTGACCGTTTGAGATCATTTGAGTGTGGACCCATGAAAGGGCAGTAAAAAACAATAGCTTTGTTTTGACATCAACTATTTTGTCGTTTGATACTGGTTGAAGCCACTTGAGTGTGGAAGCCAGAGGACCTTCCAGTTGGGGGCCCCGGCATATTTGTTGGTTACCATGGCCCAGGTGGGTGTGAGTAATCTCAACACGATTTTTCTCTAGATCCGGTGTTCGGTGTCCGGATTTCGATCTCGAGAAGTTGCCAGGTGAAGCTGGCATCGATGTCCATCTCCCTGGACGACCAGCCCCTGGTGCAGCTGCTCGAGCGGGCGGGGGCGGAGCGGGCCTCCTTCGAGCGGCAGGCCTCACATGACAGGAGGCCTGGGAGGGTAGTCGCTCGAAGCCGGTTATTTGCTTCCTTTTGTATTTTTCTTCAAACATCCAGATATTTTTCTGTTCTATGAGGGTGTCTTTTCTTGCTCGGTTTGGGGGTTGATCCAAGGGTTGCACCAAATGCAGACAACTCGGACTAGTCATTCTGGTTTCTGTCCTCCTTGGTCCCTCTTACTTGGTCGGTAGGGGATGGTCATCAGCCCCTTTCAAAGGGACATCCAATGTAAGGTTCCTAGCACATTTGGGGGACCCCTTTTGCATGTTGATGCACACCAAATGGAAGCCATCCATTTATGGGCCCCCAACACTTTTGGAAAGGATCATGCCATCTTTGGTGGTTTTACAAAGAGGAGCCATGCTTGGAATCCAAGGGACAATCACACATCTTGAGGTTCCCTGACTTCGAGTAAAGGGCTGTCGCCCAGAGCCGCCCTTGTTTTAGTGCTAAGCATCGCTCGAATTTGATAATTGTAGACAACCATCCCAAAGTGTAGCTATAAGTTGCTCCAAGTTTCAGCTCAACAAGCTGAACTTGCTCCCATAGTGCCCAACTACCAGCCACTTTCTGACCTTCAGAACCATGGGAGGCCGCTTTGGAAGCTTTGACCAGATTAGTCTACATAGCAGCACAACATCTATTTTTGGTCAACGGAAGGTAACTGGACTAACACCATGGTGATGCTGGTGGTGTCGACCATCCAAGCCTCTCCCGGGTGGAATCAAGGCCCAAAACAAACAGGCATCTACTCCGCTAAACACCGATATTCCAACAGTGCATAAGGCAGTCTGTCTGCGCACAATGTCTAGCGTAACAACCCAATCCTGCACGTCAGCGCGTTGGCCATGCAAGCCTGTCCCAAGGTTAAATCGAGCCCGAGAGAATGCCTTGTATCTGGTCCCAGAAAGGAACAATCCAAGTTCGTATGCAGCAAAGCTAGAATGGTCGACAACAGCAGCTTGCCCACAGCGGCATGTACAATACGTGCATGGGGATGTTGGTGGTTTCAACCATTTTATCCGTGTTCCACCCTTCCAAGGCACCTCCGCTTGGGGAGAAGTTGGGGAATTTGATTGGTCTTTTCTTGCGTTCATCGCTAGGCACAAACTCACAAACCTTGGTCCAGACACAGGTGAAGCCGCAGACAGGCCCCTGCCATTGAAAAGGACAGCCACTGCACTGTCGCAGGCTGAGTCCTGGCGCTGGTCTACAGTTCCAGGCAGGTTTAGGCCAAGTCCTTGGAACATCGTTTCCTTTGAAGGGGGGTCTGTGCAAACTGTTGTCTATACAGCCTCTTGGTTTTTTCCCTTTGCAGGGCCAAAGCTTTGGATCACTGCCTCCTTTCAGGTGCACGCGGACCAGCGGCCGTCCTCGCCTTTGGATGTGGCGGTGACCTTGTTGGGGGAGCCCGTGCAGGTGGAGTTGGCGCCCATGACGCTGCACGGCACCCTGCGGTCCATACAGGATGCGGTCAACGCCTGGAGGAGGGGGGGAATTGGGGATGAACATTTGTCCAGAATGACCACCAAGGGTCCACAATTCACAATCATACACCAAGTGGCGACTTGACAAGCAGACCAACATTTTGATGTTTGATCGAAGGGGGAATCGCCGTTCTCAAGGAGCCCGATGAGCCTAGCGCCGGAAGAGGAGGAGGTCTCTGAGCCGGAAGGGCCGGACCGGCCGGACGTGGAGGAGTCTCAGGCGGTGAAGCACGCCAAAGCTGCCGCCTCGGTGGCTGGATTGGATGCTATACATCTGAGCCTCAGCGTGGAGGTCGAGGCTCCCATCCTGCGGCTGCAAACCTGGCACGATGGCTCCGCCTTGGAGCTGCATCTCGGCTGCTTCTCTGCAAAGACGCTGCAGCAGGATCGCCTTCAGTTCTCGGAGTCGGAGGGCTTGAGTATGCTGCTACAAGAGGCTCAGTCCATCGATCCCCGAGCATTTGCAGTGATTTGTGAGCTCCGCGACACTCGCATCAAAGTGATGGAGCTGGGCGAACGAGATCGATTTGCATATGAGCCTTCGACAATTGTACTGGGCGCAGCTCTGACAGGAGCTGGCAGGCAGATTCACGCCGAGGCTTCCCGCATGCGCTGCCACATTGATCCGGGGCTCTTGCACTTGATTGGCCAACTCCAGGTGGGCCTGGACTTTGCCTTGGCCCCGTTGTCCGGCAACGTGAGGGCCCCCCCCTCGGTCCAAAGGACCACATCGAGGCGGCGCAGGGCTTCCATCAAGCCGGAGGGACCGCCTTTGAAGTTCAACCTCCGCACCGGCAGCTTCGATGTCATCTGGGATCCATGTGGTGGAGGCGGGTTCCACGACTCATCCGTGAAGGGCAGAATTGCCGGAGTGAGCTTGAAGGTGGAGACGGGCCTCCGTACCAGCGTCGTGGGCAACGCCCAGGATGCTCACATGGACTGTGGGGACCAGCGCTTTGTGAGTATCATCGGCAACTTAGACGTGCAGGCAGACTGGTCACAGCAGGCCAGGCGTAAATTAGTTGGGCAATGCCATTCTTTGAAAGGAAGCCGAAACGTTTTGATGTTTACATGTTCAAACATTGGCTCGCCTGTTGCCATGTTCGGGCCCGTGTTTCAACTCACAACTCATCTTCAGTGCAACTTCTAGAGAAGCTTCAGAGTTTCAGACATGTTTCCTTTTGCTTCCCTTTGGTTCACCAGCCCTGCGGCTTTCAGCGGCAGGCGGTGAAGTTGGTGCTGGTGGCCCCGCCGGTGGAGCTGCGCTGGTCCGCGGCCTCCGTGCGCAAGGCGCTGCTCGCCGGCGCCACGGTGCAGCGCGAGGTGCAGGTGGGCCAGTCCGAGGCGCTGCAGCGGTGCCCGCAGCAGGAGACGCGTCGAAGTGTGCGGATCGTGGGGTTGTACATGTGATGCAACCTGTGTAATGTATGCATGCAAATGCGCTGGTCATGCTATGTCATGATGCAATGTAATGTCATGTAGTGGACTATGGCGCAATGTAATGGAAGGTCGTGCAATGTAACGTCATGATGCTGCGAACACAGTTTCTTTTGACGCATGTACAAAGACGATGAAAAATGCAGTGGGTGGCTCTTTTGAATGTCTCTTATAAATTAAAACTCGCTAACATCACTCTGTCAAGCCAAAGCAAGTCCTCAGAACAGCACACGGACGAAGGTATTCCCTCCCAGCCCCCCAAACCCACCCGAACAACCCCCCTCCCAATTCCCTAAAAGTCGGATCTTGGTGGTGCCAAAATTAAGGCATATTATGTATACATATCGATACCCACATGATGCCACATTGGTGCGCAATGTGTAGATAAACCAAACAAAATATGTCAAATACCTATTACTCTTCAAAACACAACAGAAACTGAGAAATACATATACATACATATATATACATGCATGTATACATATGTATAATATATATAAATATATATGTATGTATGTATGTAATGTATGTATGTATGTATGTATGTATGTATGTATGTATGTATGTATGTATGTATGTATGTATGTATGTATGTATGTATGTATGTATGTATGTATGTATGTATGTATGTATGTATGTATGTATGTATGTATGTATGTATGTATGTATGTATGTATGTATGTATGTATGTATGTATGTATGTATGTATGTATGTATGTATGTATGTATGTATGTATGTATGTATGTATGTATGTATGTATGTATGTATGTATGTATGTATGTATGTATGTATGTATGTATGTATGTATGTATGTATGTATGTATGTATGTATGTATGTATGTATGTATGTATGTATGTATGTATGTATGTATGTATGTATGTATGTATGTATGTATGTATGTATGTATGTATGTAATGTAATGTATGTATGTATGTATGTATGTATGTATGTATGTATGTATGTATGTATGTATGTATGTAATGTATGTATGTATGTATGTATGTATGTATGTATGTATGTATGTATGTATGTATGTATGTATGTATGTATGTATGTATGTATGTATGTATGTATGTATGTATGTATGTATGTATGTATGTATGTATGTATGTATGTATGTATGTATGTATGTATGTATGTATGTATGTATGTATGTATGTATGTATGTATGTATGTATGTATGTATGTATGTATGTATGTATGTATGTATGTATGTATGTATGTATGTATGTATGTATGTATGTATGTATGTATGTATGTATGTATGTATGTATGTATGTATGTATGTATGTATGTATGTATGTATGTATGTATGTATGTATGTATGTATGTATGTATGTATGTATGTATGTATGTATGTATGTATGTATGTATGTATGTATGTATGTAATGTATGTATGTAATGTAATGTAATGTAATGTATGTATGTATGTATGTATGTATGTATGTATGTATGTATGTATGTATGTATGTATGTATGTATGTAATGTATGTATGTATGTATGTATGTATGTATGTATGTATGTATGTATGTATGTATGTATGTATGTATGTATGTAATGTAATGTATGTATGTATGTATGTAATGTATGTATGTATGTATGTGTAATGTAATGTAATGTAATGTATGTATGTAATGTAATGTAATGTAATGTATGTAATGTATGTATGTAATGTAATGTATGTGTATGTATGTATGTATGTATGTATGTATGT